ATGGTCACTATTGTTGCGTGAACAGAAAGGGTGCGAAAAGAAAGAGATGCGTGGACATTGTGGGGTATGGAAAGAACGGCATAGTTCGAGGCCGACCTCAATCTTTCCGTGGTTGCTGGCAGGATTGTACATACCCGCTGCAGTGTAAAGAAAGTTCTGATGGGGAGTTATGGGACGATTGCACCTGAGTGATAGCAGGTAGAGTGTGAGGCCATGCGTTAAGTCATTGCTGTGAGTTTTGGAACAAGAACGGAAGTCAGTCTATATGCTGCAGAGACGAAAAGTTTTCTTAATATACTGAGTAGTTGTCTCAGTCTTGAAGTAAAGGAAATGTGGTTTGCATGTGTCATGTTTTGAGATTGGGGTGTAGGATGGCGCCGTAATCTCGGCACGATCTCCCATGCAGACTATCACGATGCCTATTGCTTTTTTATCAAATTGAAACTCTAGGCTCATAAGCTCCAAGCAGAGAGCATGATTTCTATCACAAGATGCGTAATACACTATTTCTTATTGCCGCAATGCCGTGAGTAACTCATGCGAGTCGGAATATTTAGCGTCCGTCTGCTGTATCTGCTATTCGATGGATAGAACAATCGGGTGCAGCCCGATGTTAGCCGCCTGACCCAGTCTTGCTGCCGCGATCTGTGACACCTATGATGCATCACTAAAATAGAGTGACCGAAACGGGGCGCTTGATACCGTGTCCAGACATTCTAACAGTAGCGCCAAAAGGTTACATGAGGATACCAAAGATAAAACAGAAGATGTTGACCGCAACGATTACCCTTACACTTGCTGCGCTCACAATGTTAACTTGCTTTCCAAGCAATACTATACGATCTCTGGAATTCGCTCTTTCCCCTCACTTTGTATCAAACAGCAAGGAGGTATCAGAAATACGACGCAGACCCACACGCAATCGACTAAGCCAGGACAGTCGCCGAGCCGGGCCTGGGCCACCGATAGTTCGGAAATTGCGCAAAACACGCAGAAACCTTCTACAACTGGTATCAATCTGGCTCGGAAACCAACGGAAACAGGGAAGCCAAAGATAAAATCAGATAGCGCTGCGACAACCGCTACGCAACCATCCGAAAGCAGATGCTGTGCGCAGAGGGATCGCCAGATAGACCTCACTGACGGCTTTCAGACTCGGGCAGAAGTATTCTGTGTCATCGGGGAATCTCCAACTTTGAACCGGGGCATAAACCATGGAACAGCGCGGGGAAGGCCAGTGCTGACGTGGGAGCAGGGGACTTTACACTTTCTACCGGATAGGTTGCAGCATGTGAGAGAGGGAAGTTACAGAGTGGACTCCAACCAGCAGCATGCGACAAAAGCATCAATGAAAAATAACACGAAAAGAGGCCAAATAGCGCTTACACAAACGTCAGCTGTCTCAGATACCCCTCGAGAGCCAAGAATTGGGCCCTGAGTGGTGGATCCTCTGACTATGGCGTGTGAGAGCTCGCATTACGTAGGGATGGCATATAGTCATGGAATCCATTGTTGTTATACTCATCTCCGTTGCATCCCCCCATTTGCTATCGCGGTTGAAGATCAGAAATGTACAAGAAGCATGTGGGCTGGCGAAGCAAAGCTGCGTTTCTCTAGACGCACCGTCCGCACAAGAACGACCTTCAGCATGTCCGTTTTCGACCGTGACCTTCCAAATTCACCAGTCCAACAGATGAACCAACTTTACGTCAGTCTCAGTGCCATTGAGCAAGAGATCAAAACGCTTCCTCCAGCAATACATCGAGGTTTTGGAGAAGGGCCTGGCATTGGAAACACCGATTTATCGGACGGAAGATAGCTATAGAGAGAGCCGTAGCACTACGTAAGTCGTCTAGTAAAGCCGCGGCTTCTAATGTCACCTCTTGCCTGACCTCTTCCCTCCAATACACTATTACCAATCCGATTTCGATGGTGCAGGTACCATCGCACGTGGAGCATGCTGCGCATTTGAAGATCGATTCGTCTGTGGGTGTGAAAAATACATCTAGTCCTTCCAGAACAACGCGAATTGTCAAGTATTCCATACTCAGCCAGGCTTGATTGCATCTGGTTATGTTGCGCAGTTGAGACGATGCGCAGTTGAGACGAAACTACTGTGCATGTTCCCCATCATCGCTCAACGGGCTTGGATTTGGCGTGCCATCCTGAGCAGACTACTGCACACGCCAGGCTAACGAAAAGTTTACCGCCGCTGCTACCGCGAAGACTGACAAAACGAACAGGCTAGACTCTATTGGCCAAAGGTGCGGCAGACCGGTCCTTATGCGTTACAAATCAGCTGTTGGTTATATCTTGAGATGTGGTGAAAACTAGAATGACGTTGGTTTAACGTTAGTAATATGTTGGCCCACCTGACTTTGAGGCGCTGCAGCTGCCCCCGCTTCGATGAACGAGCAAATTGAGAGACCTGGACTGTGCTTCTCCCGAGCAAGCGACCATAACCTTTGGAGCTTCGGATTTGCCATGCCGTCGCAGTGCAAGGGCGGACGACCAATCGTTGCCTGCAGTGTGCAGGAGCCACTAGCCCCATTTGGACGCGACATAACCTAACCACCGGCTAATTAGCGCAATGCATCATTCGCTTGACCCGCCCTTCGACTTTTTTGGTGATTGTTACTTCGCAGACAAGGAAGTGGAAGTAATAGCGTCGAAGCACCGGCCGCCAGCAGCCTCAACCGGAAACTGTGTTGGCCTTCCGGACCAAAGTTCTGCCCCATTCGCGGTGTCCGTTGGGCCTCCTACGGCGGGAGATGGACGGACCATTTCCTCGATGCACACCTTCTAACACGGTTTTCGAGGAAGCCTTCGTTGTCGGGGTCGGCTGACTTTGAATCCACTTTCTTGACCGCTAAGTTTTCCGAGCACAAGCTCGACTCTCTTAGTGGGCTATGCGCTACAGCCGCAGAGCGGCCCATTCCCTATCGGGTGGTCTGATTGTGGCTTGTTCTCGAAACTCGCGAGGTATCCTGTCTGCTTGCTGCACCGCCGAAATATGCATACGTGGTAGACTTTCAGCAATACTTTTGAACATTAGTGTTGATATCCCTATCACAGAGAATTCGGTTCGAACCGTCAGTTGACGAAGAGGTCAATTGATCTAATTTAACTTCTGCGTAAGGTGTAAGAGAGAGGTTCCACCCACGGGTTGGGCAGGCCGCGATTCTCGTAAGTGGGGCTTGTAGGTGGTCCCTGCGCGGACCCCTTGCCTCGAGGTCGAATTGGACTTACAATCCGACAGTTAGCAACAGTGGCTTGCGGTGTGAGACGCGGGCGCACAGCTTGCTTTTGGAGATGCCGAACTCAAATGCATCTGTAGCGTGGCAGAGACTCGTCCTAGTGGAGGCGACGAGTTTGTTCGATCGCCTTGTAGGCTGTCACG